GGCCGTGGCGGGGGAGGGGGCCGCCGAGCCGCTCGCCTCCCCGGGCCGGAGCCGGGGATCTCCGCGGGCTGGCGGCGGAGGTTGGGGCTCAGAGATCGCAGCCGGAGGCTCAATTCCATGTAGCCGCGAGTGTGCTGTGCCGTTTTCGGCGGGTGCTCGGAAAGGGTTAAATTGAGCTTGTCACATTTTCAAAGTGTGCGTGTGCGGGTTGCGGCTTCCCTCCTTGATGGTCTGTGGGGGTGGCTGAAAGGTTCGACGCTGGTCTGTCACTTTCTCTAACGTTGGGGTTTGGGCGAGTCCGTCCTTCTTGAGAAAGCAAAAGAATGAAGAGCCTGCTGCAAGTTGCCACTTGGGACGAAGAGCCCCATTGTGGAAGGGGAGGCCGGTGTGGGCGCCTTCCGGAACGCTGTGGGCCGCTGGACCCTTCCATGTACTCACTGTCACCTGTCCTGGGGTCGAACACGAAGCTGGTTGCTGCGGTAGAAGCGAGGGACCAACAGACAGTTCCACCTAGTTCACAATCGTCCTCGGCATTTATTAAGTCAAGCAGAAGGAAGTCTTTGGTTTTCCAGAGCTCATTGTTTTAAGCGAGTTAAAATGGGTCTGCAGTCAGCGATAAGTTTTATCTTGCAAAGGAGTGCTTGGGCGTTTTTCACTTGACGAGGAGGCAAAGGACGAGGCGGGAACGTATCTTAGCACAGGCTCAGGGAACGGGTGTCTGGGATTTATAAAATGGAGTGTTTATCGACCATTGATTGAGTAGAAGGATGGTTATTCAGTTTTCTGTCCTTGGTTGGAGAAGAAGAGTGAGAGATTTCTCTTCCGTCCTGACTTCGACTCCAGAAGTTGCTCTGATTGAGTCTTGGAGGGTAGAGTGTGCACTTGCCAGGGATGAACTCTGTGTTCCAGAGAGAGATGGCAGCACTTCTTCCACCTTCGGATGGCTGTTGAAATCCGTATTTAACAGGCTGTCTGACTGGTTTGGTTTCATGAATGATTCAAACACGGATGCCTTGTTGGAGAAAATAGATAGCTTGTGACTCTTAGTCCTTGCTGTAATAGAGCAACAGGGGTGAGTAAGACCTGAAGATAGAGACTAGCAGAAATCCAAAGCCTTTTGAAGACTGTTGCATGTAAGTGCAGTATTTAGAAAAATGCCCACTTATGTGCCTCTTTTTGTAATATCTTTTTTTCTTGGAATGAGTGTCTTTTGAAGAGCCATCTAAGAGTGTATCTAAGAGTACCACTGAGACTAAAAAGAACAAACAAACACTAGGGAATGTACTCATACTAGAGCTTTTATATGAGACGGAGGCCAGGCGTGGTTGTGTGTGCCTCTAATCCCAGCATCATGAAATTGAGGCAAGGACATTGCTGAGCGTTTGAGGCCAGCTTGGGCTCCATAGTGAGTTCAAGGCTAAGTTGAGCTACATACCCTCGTCTCAAAAACAAAACAAAAAACAACTTTTATAGGATATGGGAAAAGTGAGGCTTTATTTAGTCTGAGTAGAATAAATTTTCTGATATTTCTTTGAGATAAGAATTGGAGTCACTTTATAAATCCTGACCTTTTGAGAAGATTGAATTAATTTACAATATAGGGGTATGTGTTACTACAATCAGTTGTATTTGTTGCAGAGTAGTAGTTATGCATGGAAAACCTAAAAATGTTGAATCAATCTTTGAGAAGCTTCTTCCTGACTTTTAGGGTTATGACATGAATAGGTGTATAGCTTACTAGAAGCATGGATTTTGATGTCAAGCTACTCTGGATTTGAAATCTGCATCAGCAGCTTACCAGCCTTGGATCCTCTTTGAGTCTTTGCTTTCTCATCTGTTAAATGCAGATAATAGTGTTTCTTACGGTTGTTCTGAGAATTTAAGTGGATGAAAAATGTTAAGTGGCTAGCACTATGCCTGCCCAGAGGGATAGATTAGCAGTCTGACCTTATTTATGTTGGCTCCACCCATTTAATGCAGAAAGAGTGAAAAGTAGTGAGAAGGGACTCTCAGGATATATCCAAATGCAGACTGCAGAGGTGGGTTTATGGTTTGTGTATTCACATCATGTTTCCCAATTTTTGCACTAGATTATTTAATAACATCATGAAACCTTTTGCAAAGCTATTCAATTCACAGTAACCCTGTGGCTCCACTATTAATACTAGGCTATTCTTTTTGAATTATAATAGTATGGATAGGTTCTGGGTTTTTTTTTTTTGTTTTTGTTTTGTTTTGTTTTGTTTTTTGAGTCAGGGTCTTGCTGTGCAGTTCAGGCTGGCCTTGAACTCACTTTGTAGCCCAGGCTGGTCTCCAACTCTTGTGGATCCTCCTGCCTCAGCCTCCAAAGTGCTGGGATTGTGGGCATGTGCCACCACACCCAGCTTTTTTTTGTTCTTTTGTTGTTTTCTTTTGCTATAGCAGGGGTTGAGTCCATGGCCTTTATGCATCCACAGCCCGTTTCTATTTTTCATTTTGAAATAGTGTCTCACTAAGTCACTAAGTTGCCCAGGTCATCCAGCCTTAGTCTCCCAGAATTGTGAAGTTTCACGCACTGACCACCTGTTAAGAGAAGTAACTGTTAAGACTTCTGTTAAGAGAAGTAAATCTGTCACCGCAAAAAAAAAGGGAGCATATGTTAGTGAACTTAATTTAATCATCTAGGTTGTATACGTCACATTATACTCCATGAATATATGTAATTATGATTTACCAATTAAAAATAATAATTTAAATAAAGAAAAAATAGACTGTACTTGGTGCCTTTTAAAATACTGAAGATGATAGTTTGATAAATTTCATCACTTTATTTATTTATTTATTTATTTTAAGGATAAAAGGAGGGAAACATTAACAGACATACAACATTTTACAACATATCACAAGCACAATACAGACAATACAGAGTTACAAACAAAGTGGTAGGGAATTAACAATGGTGGTTGTATTACATATTGATATCTTCAAAGTGGCTTCTCATGAAAACAGATATAGACATGCAATACTGGTCAACCAAAGACTCATTGACAGTTTCTTTCAGCATAGAAACAGCAGATAGAAGAACAACCATGTTATCTATCCTGTATATACATACATACAAAATTTCTCCTTCTTTCCCTTCTCTTTTCCCACATCCCAGAAGCCCTTTACTCTTCGGTGGTTTCCTATCATTTCACAGTGTCTATCATACCTCCGAGTTTAAATTAACTCTTTCAAGTTTTACACTAGTGACACAATGCGGTGCTTGCACATGTATGTTTGATTTATTTCACTTATGAGTATGGTCTCTAGTTGTGACCATTTAAATATAAAGGCCTCGAGTTTATCTTTCTTTACAGCTGAGTAATATTCCATTATATAAAAGTACCATAATTTTCTTATCCAATCCTCGGTGGATGGACATTTGGGTTGCTTCCACATTTTAGCAATTACAAATTGTGCTGCTATGAACATAGGTGCACATATATCACTGTGATATGATGTTTTTAGTCATCACTTTATTTGAACTTCAGGTGGGCATGGTGGCATAACGCCTTTAATCCCAGCACTGGGAGGCTGAGGCAGGAGGATTGCCACGAGTTCAAGGCCAGCCTGGGCTACGTTAGAGACACTGTCTCAAAAAAAAAAAAAAATTAAATTTCAGACTGTAAATTAATCTGCTAGTCTTGTAGAATATGTTGAAGATGAAGAAAAGGATAATGATCAAAGGATTAGATTTAGAGATTTTTACATAGAAACAATGCATCTAAAGTAGTAAAATTGACATTAATCCTTTTAAAAAACCAAATACACAATTGATTTGTCAAATCAGAAATGCATGTGTTGAACATTTTGTGTCACTTAGTAAATTGGTTATTCAGATTCACCAAATAAGTTTCCAAATATAAATTGTCAATTTTTTGGTAAAAAGTTAACTTTTTGTATATAAATCAAATGTAATTGGATAATTAGATCCAGATTTATCAAATTTAACTGTCAGTACATTTACCTTAACGTGTTACCACTGGCTTGAACCATTGGCAGTATGTGCATGACTGTCTTATCAGGTGGCCTATACCACAGATAGCACAGACAGAGCCCATCACTTTATTGGTCTGTTTCCTAATAAAGTTAATAAAAAGCTGCCTGATGGGACAGTCATGGTTATAATATGGGTGGCTCAGGCTGCCCAGGAGCAAGATGCACAGATTATGGCCCTGTTGCAAGCACGTTAAGGAGATTTAATAAATGTCACTTACCTTGCTCAAAAGGTTTGTGAAGCTGAATTACCTGCATGTAGGGTTTGTTGCCCTTCTGCAGCCTTAGGCTGTTTAGTTACAAAGATATTCAGTATTAAGAGATTTACTGAACCCCCCTATTATTATGTTATCCTTCTTTTATTCTTTAAAATAAAAAAAAATAAATTGATATTAAAGAAGTTGAGAGAAAAAAAAAGAGAGATTTACTGAAGTGATACCTCATTTCACCTATTATTTTATAAGGAGCCATTTGATATACATAGTATTTTATTTTGAATGTTATGAAAAAAAAAATCCCTTTTAAAACACCTCAGCCGGGTGTGGTGGCATACGCCTGTAATCCCAGCGCTCACGAGGCTGAGGCAGGAGGATCGTGTGAGTTTAAGAGCAGCCTGGGTTACAAAGTGAGCTCAAGGCAAGTCTGAACTGCATAGCAAGACTCTCAAAAAAGACAAAAAAAACCCCAAACAAACAAAAAGAAACATCTCAAAGCCAGGTGAGGTGGTGCACTTCTGTAGTAAGCCCAGTACTCAGGGAGACTGAAGCAGGAGGGTTTGCAGTTCCAACCCAGCCTGGGTAATTTTGCACCTTAATGAGACCTTCTATCAAAATATAGAAATATAAGGCTGG